TTAAGAGAAAGCTAGAAAACATGCTTTTCACAAAAATAATATTTATTACTTTTGACCTCTAGGTGTCCTTATATATAGTAAATGGGAAACCTCAAAGCCTGAAATAGTAAAATGATTTGTTTCTCTTCATTTGAGTGGACTATGTACTTTTAATTTTGCCACAGAAATAACTCTGAAATAATTTTTGTCCCTAAAAAATTTGTTTTCTTCAGGCAGGCATTGTCCACATTGTGCCTTTTGTTTTGTTTTAATATGTACCTAGCTAGGTTAGCCTGAAACCAAAATGATACTTTCCCTTCTTCATCGTGCTATTGATGCACTGTGTTGCTTGAGAAATCTCATCAGAATTGTCTAGACATGGACTATCTTTGTGGCTTTCAAAAACTTGATCTTTTTTTTTTTTTTTTTTTTTTTTTTTTTGAGGCAGGATCTTGCCAGGTTGCTCAGGCTGACCTTGAACTCCTGGGCTCAAATAATCCTCCTGCCTCTCCCTCATAGATAGCTGAGACAGTTCCTAAATAACATCTTCAGTTTTAAGAATTAATTAGCAAGTATGAGATAGATAGATGCTGACATAATTCATGGCTAGCAGTTGCTGGTATATCAAAGTACCCACAGAAAGCAGTCTGAAAGGTGCACAAAAAGTAGTAAGGTGGTTGAGTTAGAGATGTCTTTTCCCTTGAATGAGCATCTCACTGGCAGCTGAGACCTGGCTCAGGTCCCACTGTTTCTGGTTTCTGGGTATTTGACCTTGGGGCATTTTCTTAACCTTTCTGGGCCCTTTTCTCATTTACATATTAAAGAGATTAGAATAAGTTAATGTTCCCCAATCTTTGACTCACAAATCTCTTTTAGAAGTGCAGAAACTTTTGAACTCCTCAGGAATTTTAAAACTAATTCTGTTTTATTACTGCATGGCCTGTGATAAAGACTTGATTTTGAGTAGAAAGTATTTCCTTTAGATTAGCACATTAATATATTTTTGAGATTCATGCTACATCAGAAAAATTGTTTAAGATTCAATAATTGCTATTCGATTAACAAATGAATGTTTTATTGAAAAGTTCAAAATAAGATATTGTATTTTGTTTTAGGGGAGCCAAATATATTTAAATATTTTACAGCATTTATAAAAGGCAAGGGGTTGAAGATATAATTCAGTGGTAGAGCATTGGTTTAGTATGCTCAAAGGCCTGGCAATCTAGCACCACCAAAAGGTAATAATAATAATAGAATAAATAAAAATAAAAATAAGTCAAAATCTACTTTTGCAGTACTGGAGATTGAAACCAGGGCCTTGTGGTTTACCACTGACTGTTACCCATAAATCTCCAAATGTACTCTTAACTGCAAAGTTTTGGTATTTCTGCAATTTAGGATTTAAAAGATACATGGGTTTAATTTTAATAATTTCTGCTGTTTGCTGTGTGTTCTGAGAAAATTTTAGACTGCTATATGCAGAAAACTTTTATTGAACTTGATAGTGTTTTGCTTATCATATGTGAAAAGCCAAACACATTTTTATTTATTTATTTAGTTATTTTATTTTATTTTATTATTAGTTGTAGGGCTTGAACTCTGGGCCTGGTCACTGTCTTTGAGCTCTTCAGCTCGAGGCGAGCACTCTACCAATTGAGCCACAGCACCACTTCCAGCTTTCTGGTGGTTAATTGGAGATAAGAGTCTCACAGACTTTCCTATCCCAGCTTTGAACTGTGATTCTCAGATCTCAGCATCCTGCGTAGCAAGGATTATAGGCCTGAGTCACTGGCTCCTGGCTTCCAAACTTTTTTTTTTTGGTGGGGGGTGTCCGGTTGTGTGGCCTGAACTCTGGGCCTGGGCGCTGTCCCTCAGCTCTTCAGCTCAAGGCTAGTGCTCTACCACTTGAGCCACAGCACCACTTCCGGCTTTTTTTTTTTTTTTTTTTTTGCTTATGTGGTGCTGAGGAATTGAACCCAGGGCCTCAGGCATGCAAGACAAGCGCTCTACCACTGAGCCACCTTCCCAGCCCCTCCAAACTTTTTTATAATCACTAAATTCCTTACCTTTGTAACATTAGATTTTTGGTGTTTTAGAAACGTATTAATGCATTTATATAATCTTGTAAGTCTGAAGAGTGAGTGTAGAGAATTAGTTTAACTTCCATATCTAGCCACAAGCATATTTAGGTACATTTGTACAATTAGTTTCTGCATTAGTTAATACAACTAGTGTTTCCCTGAGCTTCCCATCTTTAACCAGTAGGCCCCATTATATTATAAATTAAGCAGTATATCAATATATGTATACAACTGAAAATCAAAACAGTTTGAAATTTTGTTATAGTCAAAAACATACAATGATATAGAGTTTGTCTGAATGAGTGATGAGCTCATTCAGCTTGTTTCCATGAATCCTGCACATGTAGGTGGATGGAAGGTCCTTATCACATTCTACTTTTAAAAATGGGATCTAAGAAAAATCAGTTCATTTTAAGAAACTGATAATATTATCTATTTAAGTTTCACTTATAATTTCCATTTCTCTTGGAGCAACTTCCTGAATCCCTGGAATTTGTGATAACTACTTGAGAAATGATCATCAGAATGTTCCATATAACTGTAATGTTCTAAAAAGCTTGTAATAAATTGTAAATTGGTGCAAGCTTGTGGTGTCCATCCAGCTACTCTTTCTTATAGAGTGACTAAGTTGTAGAAAGGTTGGATCACCATTTCAAGAGCTTCCCAGAGCTCCCTGTTTTCCTTTCCTAGGCAACCATAGACTTCTCATTATCCCTATACCTTTTGGAATGATATTTGAAATGTTTTGCCTTTTGTAGTAAGTCATACTTTTAATTAAGGTATTATATCCTGAGGGAAAAATTTTCAGGTTTATTGTCTATATGCAAATTAGAATTTCTTTGATTTAATGGTGCTCTTTTTAGTACTTTAAAATGCTTCCTAAATACTACTTTAGAATTTGACTAAAAAGTTTGTGTTCTCTCAAGCTAATGTTTCATACCTGTAATCCTAGATACTCACTCAGGATGCTGAGATCTGAGGAGTGTGGTTAGCCCACACAAGAAACTCTGTGAGGTTTTTTTTTTGGGGGGGGGGGGGTGTCAGTCATAGGGCTTGAACTCTGGTCTAGCGCTCTACCACTTGAGCCAGAGGGCCACTTCTGGCTTTTTCTGCCTATGTGGTGCTGAGGAATTGAACCCAGGGCCTCATACATGCAAGGCAATCACTCTACCATTGAGCCACCTTCCCTGCCTGAAGGTGTAGCTCAGGCTGGTCTCAAACTCAGGATCCTCCTGCCTCATCCTCCTCCTTTGATTATCGACATTTGCCACCAAAGCAGTCTAAGATTCTTATCGCCAATTAACTACCAACCCCAGTGCTAACACAAAAAAGAAAGAGAGGAAAGGAAAGAAGGAAGGAAGGAAGGAAGGAAGGAAAGAAGGATGGAAGGAAGGAAGGAAGGAAAGAAGGAAGGGAGGGAGGGAGGGAAGAGAAAGAAAAAGAAAGGAAGGAGGGAGGGGAGGAAGAGAAGAAAGGGAGAAAGGGAAGGAGGGAGGGAGAGAGAAAGAAGGAAAGAAAGAAAGAGAAAGAAAGAGAAAGAGAGCAAGCCCATGTTCATTCCTGGCAGTTTTACCACTGAATTATAACTGCTCTAAGCTTTTCTTTTGCCAAAATGAATAGTATACTTTTGTCTGTTCTTATGTGGCAAAATTCCCATGTTTTATATCATTGAATGTTACTGGACTCACATAACCTTGGGCAAGTTCTCTAACCTTTAAAGAGACTCAGTTTCTACATCTATGAAAAGAATTATATGATCCTACAAATTTTGAGAAAGTAGATATTCTATATAGTACAGTGTTCAAACTAGACGTGACTACTGGTAAGTACTTCACAAGTTTTAGCTGCCATCAATGTCATCCTCATCAACTCCCAACTCCTAAACCTGTGAACACTATCCATTAAGGAGAGTACAAGAAGCAGAACTTTTCCAGAGGTTTCCATGCATCCCCAAACTGTAAACTGAATAACGAATATGCTTCACATATATAAATGGCTTACTGCTAAATAAATATAGATTTTATACTGAATAATAAAATGTAGATTCATTTTGAATGGTAAAAGAATTCATAGTAACTTGGATATATTTTTCTTATATCATGGCCTTTAATGAAAGTTGAACTAATTTTTGTGAATGTTAAATGAGATCTACAAGCTTGAAATAGTGGAGCTCCATTGTCTTTATTGTTTGAGGATTTGTTATGTTGACTTTTTTTCAGTTCCATCACTTGCGTTTAAGGTTTGAAGACCCAGATCATATGGTAGATTTTTATGCACTACAGTTTCATACAATGGTTCGGTACAGTTTTTTTTTTTTTCTCATGTGTTTCACTGATTGTTTTCAATTGTCTATTGGCATCTAATCAAAATAATATGTGATTTAATGCTGGCAGAATCCAACATGGTTCTTCCCTACTTTCTTTTGGGTGGTGATGATGGTGCTACCCCCAGCTTTGTATGTGGAGTATCAGATAAACATTTCCCAACCTTACACATCTCCCCCAAATAGCATTTGTCATATAAACAATTCATCTATTGTTGGAAGTAACAAAACCCTATTGAAATTAGGTTAAGTAAAAATGAAGATAATTTGAATTAAGTTAAAATGAAAGAAAAAATTGCTCTGTGCACATAAAAACTATAAAAACTTGAAAGCTTTTTTAATGAAATTTTCAAAGTTTGTTGTCCATTTGCTATTGCCTTATTTGTCGATCAAAAGATAAAGAATTGTTGTGACCAAACCAGATAGAAATATCTTCTTTTAGTACCTTTCAACACAATTCAGAAGGGCATATAGGATAAATCTGTCTTCTGGTTGGAGTCCATAGGCCTTCCTTTTAGTCCTAGATGTGATTCCTGTAAATTACTATCCTCCCAGTGGGAAAATAAGAAAACATACCCCCCCAAATATTTTACTATTTCCTTTTTAATGCTTTCTAGGTTTTTGTCAAGCAGGAAAGGATTTGCGTTTGGTATCACTCTGTATGGAACAAATCGACATCCCAGCAGGATTCCTCCTGGTGGGGGCCAAATCTCCCAATCTTCCTGAACATATCCTAGTGTGTGCTGTAGACAAGCGATTCCTACCAGATGATAATGGGAAAAATGCACTTTTAGGTGAGTATTTCATGCCTGTAATATTACTTCTGGGCAGATGTTAAATGCAAGCTTATTTAAAATTACCACAGCATTAAAAAATACAGCTGGGCATAGAAGTTCCTACCTGTCAGTAATCCTAACACTGGGAGACTGAGACTAGAAGATCATGAATTCAAGGCCAACCTAGACTACATAGTAATTCTCTTGTCTCAAGCAAAATAAAATTATATGTATCTAACATTATATATTATGCATTTATTACATATTGTCATGTTATTTATTATAGTACATATTACATATATGATTTTATATAATTATATATAATATACATATAATTCATGTATATCAGAATTAGTTGATTAGTTTAGATCAATTTTTTTCTTTAAGCATTTAAAAAGTTAGTTTCACTGGTTATTGTCAAAATGTTTCCCTTAATTAAGAGGCAATTCTGACCAAATGTTATATTAACAGCATACAATTTGTCAAAAAATGATATTCTGGTGCTGAGTGTAGTTCAGTACTAGAGCACTACTTGTCTAGAAGGTACCAGGCCCTGAGTTCAATACCAGCACAAAACAAGTTTTTGTAAAACAAAGTGCAACATACTCTATATAGTCATTAATCTAAAACTTATGTCAACTCTCATTTATTTGGTGGATTTTCTACTTTGTAAGGCAGTTTTTCATTCTACCCACTATTCCTTTCTATACTTGACAGATGCGATTCCTACTTTACTTTTAACATTAGTTCACCTAAAACAACTACGAGTCTAGAAATGATAAGAAATAGATAGTATTATCTCAGAACTGTTTGACTTTCTCGACTTACAATACTAGCATCTCCACAACATATTTTTATATTTATGTTATATATTATATTTGTATATATTTTATATCTTTCATAATTTTGGGGGTCAATACTGGCGTTTAACTCAGAGCCTTGAGTTTGTTAGGCAAGTGCCTACCACTTGAGCTACACTTCTAGTTCTTTTTGCTTTTAGTTATTTTTCAGATAGGACTGGCTTTATACCTTGATTCTCTTATTTATGCTACCTGAGTAGTTAGAATTATAGATATGCATGACTATACCCAGCTTGCTTTGTTGAGCTGGGGTCTTGCTAACTTTTGTCTGAACTTTAGTCCTCCAGATCTCAGTCTCCCAGGTAGGGGGAATTGTGAACACTGCACCCAGCCCATCAATCACTATCTTAAGTCAGAAGGTGACTCTGTACATGCTTTTTGAAGGCTTCTTAAATTGTAGTCTAGAGCCCTCATGATTCTGGCACGTAGGAAAAGAAGTGACAATTTCCATGTTTCATAAATCTCACAAAAATGTTTACTTATTCTTTAAGTGAAATTGAATATATAGTTTAATATATGTTTAATGATAAAGCTTATGCACTGCCCCAAATTACCAGAGAAAGTTCACCTACTCAATTTGTTCATTCATTCATTCAATACTATTTTCTCAAAATGTGCTGGATATGAGAAATAATGCATAGTAGAGTGCTTGCCTAGCACGCATGAAGCCCTGGGTTCAATTTCTCAGTACCACATAAACAGAAAAAGCCAGAAGTGGTGCTGTGGCTCAAGTGGTAGAATGCTAGCCTTGAGCAAAAGAAGCTCAGGGACAGTGCATAGACCCTGAGTTCAAGACCCAGGACTGGAAAAATAAATAAATAAATAATGCTGCACTATGACTTGGAGGCACCAAAATTATAAGGCATAATCCTTTCTTTTACAGAACTTACAAGTTGGTAGTATAAAACTGTTGTGGCATTTTTATCTAGTTTTTTTTTCTTTTGTCGGTCATGGGGCTTGAACTCTGGGCCTGGGCGCTGTCCCTCAGCTCTTCAGCTCAAGGCGAGCGCTCTACCACTTGAGCTACAGCGCCACTTCTGGTTTTCTGGTGGTTTATTGGAGATGGGAGTCTCACAGTCTCTCCTGCCCGGGCTGGCTTTGAACCGCCATCCTCAGATCTCAGCCTCCTGAGTAGCTAGGATTACAGGCGTGAGACACCAGCGCCCGGCCATTTTTAGCATTTTTAAAACCTTACAATCTATTGAAATAAATCAAGGTCAGCTCTGACTAGACACTGAAAAAGAAAACAATCATAATCCCTTTTTGGTCAATGATTCTTGCACAACTAGGGGAATTCTGTTATAATACATCATGGAAAGACACAGAAAATACCATCAGAATAGTATACTACATAGTCCTCTGTGTGTGTGTGTGTGTGTGTGTGTGTGTGCGCGTGCGCACACATGCACTCGTCCTGGGGCTTGAATTCAGGGCCTAGTTGCTGTCTCTGAGCTTTTGTGTTCACTCAGTCTAGCGCTCTACCACTTGGGCCACAACTCCACTTCTCAGTTTTAGGTGATTAGTTGGAGATAAGACTTTCCTGCTTGGGCTGGTTATGAACAATGATCTTCAGATCTCACCTCCTGAGAAGCCAGGGCTATAGACTTGAGTCACTACTGCCTTCTCAAATTCCTTTATAATCAGCAATCTGACACAATATCCATAGACTTTGGAACCAGAACTGCATTTAAGTCCCAGATTTAAGCTAGGTGAGGTGGCTTCCATCTGTAATCCTAGCACTTGGAAGGTTCAGGCAAGAAGATTGTGACCCCGCTCTCTCTGTCTGCCTACATCTATCTATCTAGATAAGATTTACCAGCTAGTATTTTAGGAACTTGAAGTAGATTAAGAACTTGAAGTCTCAGATTTCTCATCTACATAAAGGGGCCAATAATAGCTACCTTTCATGCTCTAAAAATGAGATGAGCTGTTTATAAGGCACCCACCTTGCATAACCTGGCACATTTTTCTTTCTAAGTATAAATGGACATAATGTTTCACTAGTCACTTCTCCACAGAAAAATATATAGTACAACAGTATTGTAGAAGGTTTTTCTTGGATCAGTGCATTGGTGAGATTTTTGCATGTCCAGTACTATATTATCTAAAAACAGTTTTTACTTATGATAGAAGTTTTAGTATGCACTAAGAGAATTTATTTTATTTTATTTTATTTGTCGGTCATAGGGCCTGAACTCTGAGCCTGGGCGCTGTCCCTGAGCTCTTCAGCTCAAGGCTAGCACCCTACCACTTGAGCCACAGCACCACTAACGGCTTTTTCTCCTTATGTGGTGCTGAAGAATCGAACCCAGGGCCTCATGCATGCAAGGCAAGCGCTCTACCACTGAGCCACCTTCCCAGCCCCTAGAGAATTTGCTTTTTAAAGATTCAACTATTCTGGGACCCTTGTGGACTCCAGTATCAATTTTTCTAAAACTTGGTTAAAGCATGCTGATTTCAAAGGCTGTAGGAAAATCGATTTAAAATTATACTCATCTATTTGGCAGTGCACGTGCTCCAAATCTAACATGCGATTGGAAGACTTGACCACCAGGAAAACTAGAAATGTAATTCAGGTATAAGAGATGGAACTTTTCATTACTGATATAGCAAGAGCTTTGAAAAGGTACTATTTCTTGAGAGCTAAGGCTAATCATGCTGAAACCACACAAGAGTAGTCACAACTAACTCTGGTGGAATTTAACTCTTTCGTATGTTAGCTGTCATCATTAACATGGAGGTTCTTTTTGCAGATGGTGCAGGCAAGTGATTCTTTCACATTTGCTTTTTATCTTAGAGAATATTCACAAAGGAAAAGATAAAAAATGAAGCCCAACCTCACTAGCTGTTCATTCAGCTGAAACCAGTCATTTCAGAATTACCTGGACCTACCACACACACCTTATTTTTCAGCCCTGTTCTTAATTATTTCAGGTGAAAACCTCTTATAGCTTTCTTTTTCTGTTTGGGTGAGGTATACCTATCTCACAGATCAAGCAGTTTTTCATCAGGAATCACTTGAGATATAAGTTCTACAAGGGCAGGGGCTTCGTCTTATTGTTCAGTACTGATATATAGTACCTGAAACAGTGACTGATACACTGTAGAGTATAAGTGTTTATTGGATGGGTGGATCAATGAGTTTAGGAACTTAGTGAATTAGACAGTCATTGACAACTTTTGGCAGGGCCCACTGACTTCAAGGTATTGAGAACTGGGCAAATATTTTCCAATATAATCCATCTGAATTATAAAATTATGTTGTTCCTTTCTTATAAAGTAACAGTAATAAATTATTAGTTCTATATAGTTGACTAGAGATTATGATTATCTCTTTTGTATGACTTATTTTCTAATGCTGAACAAAATGACTGACATAAAGATAGGTACTCAATAAATAATTGTTGAATGAATAGTAATAAAGTGGCCTGCATATTTATAGATAATTTGAATTGATTGTTAGCATTCTAAAATGAGGACATTGTAAGATATTCTCTTTAATCCTGTGATGTTTCTCTTTTCTCCTTATCATTGTTAATTATATACCAGGTTGGTTTAGGGATTTGAAAAGTGTCACTTCAGTGAATTTATTTTCAGTTAGTTATTTATATAGAGATATATTGTCTTTATACACTACGGAATGCTGCTTTTTTTTTGGGGGGGGGGGGGTCCAGTCATGGGCCTGAACTCTGGGCCTGGGCTCTGTCCCTCAGCTCTTCAGCTCAAGGCTAGCACTCTACCACTTGAGCCGCAGCACCACTTCCGGCTTTTTTTCCTTTTTGCTTATGTGGTGCTGGGGAATCGAACCCAGGGCCTCATGCATGCAAGGCAAGTGCTCTGCCACTGAGCCACCTTCCCAACCCGGAATGCCACCTTTTTTTTTTTTTTTCTTTTGTCAGTCGTGGGGCTTGAACTCTGGGCCTGGGCGCTGTCCCTCAGCTCTTCAGCTCAAGGCGAGCGCTCTACCACTTGAGCCACAGCGCCACTTCCGGTTTTCTGGTGGTTTATTGGAGATAGAAGTCTCACGGTCTTTCCTGCCCGGGCTGGCTTTGAACCGCGATCCTCAGATCTCAGCCTCCTGAGTAGCTAGGATTACAGGCGTGAGCCACCAGCGCCCGGCTTGGAATGCCACCTTTTTATCTTCAACTGTTGTCCTGTTCATCTGTAGACTTCAAATATGTTTTGTTCTCATCAGAAACAACCAAAGGAACTTACTGTTACTTCCAACCTATTCCTTTGTATATCAAGGGGGACTGAAATGCTGGTTTTCAATAAAGCAAAACATTGCTCTGTGTGCACACACATGTGTGTGTGCATGCATGCACACACATGCACCAGTACTGGAGCTTGAACTTAGGGCCTTAAGTTCTGACTCCACACTCATGACTGGCACTCTACAACTTGAGCCATGCCTCCAGCAATGTCTTATTCTCCCTATTTCATCTGTCTTCTCTATCTTACACCTCCTGTTTGAACCAGACCATTAAAAGTCTTATTTTGTTTGAGTACTCTGGGTAAGGAGTTGCTCAAATGTTAGATCTAAAGGAAAAATAAGCTAGTTTGAATAAACAGGAAACAAGAATGCCATGGAGCTCCTGTCAGAAAGTAAAACTAGATCTCATAGGAGCTGAAATTGAGTGTTCTGAATCTGCACATTGATGTCCATATCAACTCTCTTCTCTGAAGATCAGCTTCCTCTTCACAACTTTTACAAAATTTTACAAACGCAGAGTCCAGTATCATTGGACTGACTTTGTTTGTTGCAAAATCCCAGAAGAAAGATTTTTTTCTGCTTTACATTTGGTCAGATATTGCTCATGGATTTATTACCTATGGCCATGGCAGCTTGTTCTTGTAGTGAGCTGGGCAGAGAATCAGGACTAAGACTGACAGATTCTTAAGAAGGAATCCATGAGAAAAAATAATGAAACTGGGAGCTAGTGGCTCACGCCTGTAAACCCTAGCTACTCAGGAGGCTGAGTAGCAGTTCAAAGCCAGCCCAAGCAGGAAAGTCCATGAGACTTAATTACCTTTAATTAACCACCAGAAAACTGGAAGTAGAACTGTAGTAGAGGGCTAGCCATCAGCAGAAAAGCTCAGGAACAACTGTACCCAGGCCCTGAATTCAAAACCCATGAGTGACCCCCCCCCCAAAAAAAAAGAAGAAAAAGAAAAAGATGTCTCTAGGACCAAGGTTTTCTTTATATATATATATATATATATATATATATATATATATATATATATATATATATATAAAATAGGAATAATCTCTGTCATGATACTATCTACTGTATTTCCTTATCTATTATCTTGTTGGAGCAGCATTTAAATTATATCCAGTCTTCTACTCTTTTAAAAAGAATTCTAAAAAAAATGTTAACCAAGTTTTCCTTTTGAATTATTTCCTTAAAATTAGGAGATATTATACAAATTAAAATTAGCATATTATACAAAGAAATTGAGAAATTGTGTCAACTTAGAAGGCCACCAGTACCATTGGTTTTCCTCATTCCAGGGTTTTCTGGAAATTGTATCGGCTGTGGAGAAAGAGGATTTCGGTATTTCACGGAATTTTCCAACCACATTAACTTGAAGCTCACCACTCAGCCTAAGAAGCAGAAGCACTTAAAGTACTACCTAGTCAGAACCTCCCAGGGTGTACTGTCAAAAGGACCTCTTATCTGCTGGAAAGGTAATCAAATTCCTGGAGGGGAAGAGGAGGGAATGGAGATAGAGTGATGGCGACCAGTGACTCTTACAGGGTTCAGAGTACAGGTGTGATACAGATAAAGAGCTCAAGTTCAGAGGCTCTCCAAAAATGTGAAACCCTTTAGTAGGTTATTGACTTGATCCTTTTATTTTTAAAGGAGATATTTAGGGAAGTACATGTCTGCATTTGACTTTTGGGAAGCAGTGCAGTTCTCAGGGGAGAAAATAAGCAACACTTTCTAGGTCTCTTTTCATTTAGAGAGGACTTCAAAGTGTCAGATACTCAGTTTTTCTTTAATTCTTTGGTAATTTTCAAGGATCTATATTTTTCTATTTTAATTTGTCCAGAACCTACCTGGAATAAACACTGTAGTCTTTATAATGCCAGGGAAACTGCCTTGACAAAGTTTTGGTCCTTTTAAATTAGGAAGAACCTAACTTACTCATACAAATAAATCCAGTAGAAATTTCACATCTTCATGTGCTTGATAGAAACTGCTACAATGTCTGTGCATTGTTGCAATGCATTTGAGTTTATTCAGCAGTTTCTTAGATGCTAAGATTTTTTCTTCCATAAAATAATTCCTTAATGTTTCTGTTTGTTGCCTATATATGACTGTTGTCTGACAAACAATAGCAGAATATATCTAAATTGCAATATATTTGTCTCTTGAGTCCTTCACTGTAATTACTCTTGCTTGCATTCGAAGTGGCATTTATGTAATTTCTTAGGAAATGGGTTTGTGTTCCAAGCAAGGTATCATCAGAACTTGAATCTTGGAAATACTGGCTCATAAACCTGGTGAATTATAGATAACTTTCTTAATAAAGTCTGAAGATTTTTCCTGTAGGAAAATAGCTTTGAATGTCATAAACCCTAATTAAAGTGTAGAAATAAGGCGCCTATCACCTCTCTACCTTTTAACTTTCTTCTCCAAGATTTTGTACTGATTATATAAAATATATTTAACTTCTTGCTTTTCAAAGGTTTGAAAAACCTTGTGTATATAGAAGTTGCTATTTTGAAACTGGAATTGTTTATGTATGTAAACATAATATCAATGCATCTAATACATATAACCTGGAGTTTTTAGATCAAAATACAGTATCTCTTTATAGAAGCCCTTGAGAAGACTGCCCTTAGCTCTTGCAAACTTGGAAACTTCCTAGAACCCTCTAATATTAATTTTTCATTTACAACTATTTATATACTTCTATTTCACATGCTACTTTTTATAATTTAGTTGGAACTAATGATCCATTAATGGTTATAGTCTTCATTACTTACCTACATCAGTACAAAGTGTTGTTAATGTATTATACCAGTATCCCAACAACAGATACTTAATATGCAATTGTGAAGTGCATGATTAATAATCAATTTATGCCTGCTATTTCTATAAATAAGAAGGGAAACATTAAGAATTTATAATTTTTTAATCTTCTTTGCATTTTTATTACTTCTATATTTGGACATAAATTAAGATTGAGTAGAAAATATTGAAAGCAGATTAGACAGAATCAAAGTTACTGTTCTACACTTAAACAAATCCTGGACAGGAGGTTAACTGGTATTTGAAAAGCTTATCAGATTTTTTATGTTATTGATATTTCAGCCTCTCTCTTACCCATAAAACCAATGGCTACATTGGTTATGAGCATTTTTCTCCAGAGAACTAATCTGTGGGAAACAAAGGCTTGATTGTTTTTTCCTTTTAAGCATGACATCCGGTCCTAGGAACAACAGTCCTCCTAGCTGAACATTCTATACTGTTTGGAGTCAGGGTTAGGGGAAGGTGATATCTCACTCATAAAGGAAGCCACTGCTATCTAAAGAGTAGCTTTTTGTTTAAGAGATTTTATGGATCATGTCTCCATTACTTGTTTAAACAGAATATTGACCTGTTCATATAATGTGGTTTTTCTTTCCAGAATGTAGAAGCCGACAATCCTCTGCTACTTGTCATTCTATTAAACCAAACTCTTCTGTGTCATCAACTGTGACCCCAGAAAATGGAACAACTAATGGATACAAAACAGGATTCACTCAAACAGGTATGAGTCACTTTCTTATGTCATTTATGACCAGGACTTAAGTCCAAACAAATATTACTTGTTAGAACTCAATCTTTGGATGAATAGGACTCAAGTCCTATTGGTTCCACCAGTGGTAGACAGAGAATAGAAACAGGAACTGACAATTGGTAGGAAACTTACCTCAACCATAGGATATGATGCTAGAAGAGTCTGACCATAGGCAATAAGAAGAAACCCAGACATCACAGCTATCAAGTGGAATGTACTGCGACAGATTCATGAAGACTGGACTCCCAGGATAGGACTCTACCTAAGCCCATAGAATATTAAAGATAGTAGTAAACACCTAGATACAAAGTAAGGTCCCAGACCCAGTGTGTTATTACACCCTATGCCTGTAATAATAATGCTCATAGTGAGACCCTGTCTTAAAAAAAAAGTGTGTGTGTGGGAGAATAAAAAGTAAGGCATTAAGGTAGGATTATGAAACTATATAAATCCAGAATCTAGTTTCTAATGGTACAATAAAAGGGCTTGATTACACATAACCAGACAAAGTTTTAGTGCCTGAGACCAGTTTACAGTATCAGGGCCTGAATGCAGAAAGGCTGATCTGATACCAAGCAGATTTGCTACTCTTCCAAGGCTTCTAAAGAATTCTTCCAGTATGGAGCCCTGGTGTAGGCCCTGAGGTCAAGATAAGTCTGCAGGTGGGACTGGATGGCTCCAGGTGTCTGACAAGTAGAGAGTTGTAATTGAAAACAGCACAGCAGATAGCAATTGAGAAAAATGATTCAGAATCTGTACAGTTGTATTTTAGGCAATGAAAGTGTTTTTAAAAATTTGTGAATTATGTTTTCAACACACTTGTTTTGTCTTTTTTATACCATTTTACCCATGTGAGATGCAAACTTTATATGCATATGTGCTTTACCAGTATCCACTCAACCACAACTCAAAAGATATCTTTATTCACTACTTAACATACAGCTTTCAAATTTATGTGAGTTTCTGATGAGCTAATAAATTAATTGTTTTTTTAAATGAATAAAGTTAGCAATAATGCAAGAAGGAACAAGATAATTTTATTTGTAGCACTTCTCACTATGTGCCTGCATTAGGAAAATTTCATTCTGGATTAAAAATGTATTTTAAGCTGTTCAGAAGATGTAGATAGATCCTGTAATCTAAGAGAGAGATCATTTCTCTTTAGAAGAGATGAAAGAACATCATGTCATTAGGTATTCAAAAAGCAAAACAGATGGCATTTGGCTCTTGTCATTGTAAGATTAGCCTTTATTACATTGAAGACATATCTATTTGTCCTCCTAGAATATTATTTTTATTATTTTGATGAATTCCCCTATCTTTCCCTAAGTCATAGGGCTAAAACTTTAAACCAGTATAAAAAAATTAATGTTTGGCTCATTTAAACAAAAATGCACCAAGTATCTATTATGGTCTAAGAATTTTATCATATGCTATAAGGCAGGGTTCCTGTACTGGACTGACAACTTCAACAATTTAAAATCCATCTTTAAATAGAGGAGATTAAAAAGCAACAAAACATGTTAGCGTTCCTAAGGGGAAAGATGGTTGCCTTAAATAACAAGTTGTACCTGGTAATGAAAAGTTATTAAAATGTCAATATCTAATAATACAATTTTAGTCATACCAGGAAGTATATTTTGAAAGAAATATTTTTCTGAAAGAAGAAATAGGGCTTTTGGAAACATTCAGGCCCCCAGAGCCATGAAGAGATGGAGGCAACAGAGAGGGAGAAGGTCACTGACTGACTCACAGTGAACAAAACTGGCCAAGTATTAGTCTAATATCCTTGCATGTTCCCTGTAGAGGCATAAGAAGTAACTGACCATGAAACTAGTTATTAACAATCTTAGGTGCAATCTAGAGAATTTACTAAAAGGAAATACCTTTGTAAGTAAGGTTTTGAATCTAAAACTTTCACATTGATGAATTTATGTTTATAGGTACATGGACAATAATTTTTCTGACATTCGTTGAATGTAAACTAGCTTTAAGAGGTTCATGTTAACATTGTGGTATCACTATGACAATATTATGCAACTTTTAGGATATGTAGCATCTAACTGTAAGATTCACTTTTCTATATGAGATTGTTTTTTCCTTAATCTTAATCTGCAGTCAGTGACTGTAATCAATGAAGATCCTGAAAGTTAAGTACACACAATTCATAGAATTTTAAGAAGGGATTGCCTTCCTACTTACATCTTATCAAGAGTACCATTTGACAAGCTCTGGAATGTTCTATACTTATTGGCTTGCTACTTATTCCTTTCTCATTTGCTTTGAACATTTTTGATAATTCAACATTTTTTGATAACTCAAATTTTGTCACCAATTTCAGAGACTTATTTTTCTCACTTGCTTACTTGAACTCTCTATGTATTTATCTTTTTGTGTTATGTATACATTATACACATATACAGATACAGAGATTGTTCAAATAAGGGCAAAATTCAAGAATAGATGGAAAAGTGCCAGGTGTTTTGGCAAACACAAGTAATCCCACCATACTCCAGGAAGCGAAGACAGGAGAAGTGAGAGTTTGGAGCCAGCCTGGCCTATAGAGTGAGATGTTGTCTCAAAAAAAAATAGAGGAAAATATTTTTTTCCAATCCAAGGTATTGAAATTTTCCATGTTTTCTTCTAAAGGTTTTAGTATTATAGCTCTTATAGTTTAGTCCAGAAGACATTTTGAGTTCATTTTTGTGTGTCCTAATGCAATAAGACTCTAAATATCTTTTTTGCATGTGTCTATCCAATTGTTCTAGACTATTTATTGAATATCTGTTTATTGGGTTTCTTCTTACCAGTCAACAACTGACCATAAATATAAGGAAATATAATCATGAAAAAATTAATCAAATGGGTCTTGTCAAAATTTAAAACAGGACTGGGAAGGTGGTTCAGTGGTATAGTGCTTGCCTTGCATGTATGAGGCCCTGGGTGCAATTCCTCAATACCACATAAGCAGAAAAAACTGGAAGTGGCTCTGTGGCTCAAGTGGTAGAGCACTAGCCTTGAGCTGAAGGGCTAAGGGACAGTGCCTAGGCCCAGAATTCAGACCCCACAACTGACAAAAAAAAAATATTTAAAACATACAGTTCAGAATATGTTGTTAAGAAAAGGAAATAAATAGTTTAGAGGAATGGCTCAAGTGGAGAAGTGACTGGGTAGCAAGCATGATGCCATGAATTCAGTTCCATTACCACCTAGAATAATAATTAAGCAGTTAATTTTAAAAAAGAAAAAACTACATTCTGGGAAAATAATTGCAAAATATATCTTTAGACCTGTGAGATACCTGTCTAATAATTCATTAGTGTCTAGAATTTATTTTATTTTTAATTTTTTATTATCTTTAAGTAGTTGTACAAAGAAGTTCCCACTCTATAAAACAGTATCTGAATACAAGGTGTCTGGCAGCATTGTCACCCATCGCTCCTAACCCACTCCTTCTCAAACTTTTCTTTTCTTCTTCTTTTTTTAAAATTGAGATTAGGTCGGGCTGGGAAAGTGGCTCAGTGGTAGAGCGCTTGCCTTGCATGCCTGAGGCCCTGGGTTCAATTCCTTAGCACCACTTAAGCAAAAAGAAAAAAGCCGGAAGTGGCGCTGTGGCTCAAGTGGTAGAGCATTAGCCTTGAGCTGAAGAGCTCAGGGACAGAGCCCAGGCCCAGAGTTCAGGCCCCACGACCGGACCCAAAAAAAAAAAAATTGAGGTTAGGTCTTTACATAAATTTCACATATTTCACAGTAGTGTGGAATAGTGATACTTAGTCACAAACACATTTTAACCTTCACAAGATAAATTGTCATTATCATGGTCTATAAAGTTTGTGAATTCTATGAGCTTTGACAATACAATTTTTTTCTTCCACATCAGGTGATATTTACATTTCTTTCCTTTTGCTTAGTGTAGGCTGTTCCCTCTTTCCCTCTCATTCATCCCTTCCCATCGCTGTCTTTGGGTTGCTTAGTTCACTTGCAGCTGATTGGCCCTTCTGTTGTACATTTTCCTGTTTCTCACTGATTCTGTGGGAAACTCCTAGCTTCCCTCTGTTGTATGCATATATGTACCATATATATGGTCAAGAACATGGAGTCATTTAGCAATGATATGACAGAATGAGTGGCAGTCCTTTGTTTCTCAAGTCCTGTTTTCTTTGTTATATCTCCTTGCATTTTGGGATTCACATCTGCATATCAGGGAGACCATATGCCATTTGTCTCTTGCTCTTGGCTTACCTCACTCAAAATCATTTTCTCTAGTTCATCCATTTCCCTGCAAATGCCATTATTTTGTCTTTTCTAATGGCTACATAATATTCCCTTGTATATACGTACCACAGTTTTTGGATCCACTCATCAGTAGTGGGGCATCTGGGTTGTTTCCATAGCTTGGCTATTATGAGCAGTGCTGCAATGAACATGGAGGTGTATGTGTAGAATTTATTTTAAAAGAACACATAACTCAACAAGAAAATGACTAGCAACTCAATCAAACATTGGCAAAAGATTTTGAGTAGACATTTCTTCTAAGAATATATATAATGGCAAATATGCATATGAAATCCTAACATCACTAGTCATCTTAGGAAAACGCACATCAAAACTATAAGCCGGGCACCAGTGGCTCACACCTGTCATCCTAGCTACTCAGGAGGTTGAGATCTGAGGATCGTAGTTCAAAGCCAGCCTGGACAGGAAAGATCTGTGAGACTCTAATCTCCGATAAGCTAGCAGAAACTGAAGTGGTGCTGTGGCTCAAGTGGCAGAGTGCTTGCCTTGAGCTGAAGAGTTGAGGGGCAGCACGCAGGCTCAGAGTTCAGGTCCCACAACCGACCAAAACAAAAAAAATATATAATGAATACTATTTCACACCCAATAAAATGACTTCCAACAATCAGGCGATAGCGAGTGTCTGGATGACTTGGAACCTTGACACGTTGCTGTTAGGAAAGCTCTGCTGCAAC